TCTTAATGTACCTGCATCAAGTCTTACTGATCACCTGGTTAATTGGCCTATGTGATGGGTTTTCTCGGCTCTCTGGTCCTTAAAGTTCATGCTGGATGGCAGATCTGCAGTAGCAGTTTGACATGCCAGATGGGGTTACTAGGTTTGCTTTGCTCCATTTTTCACTCCTTGCCCCATCCCTGTTTCATAGTCCAGAGATGGTGAAATTATTTTATTTTTGATTTTGTAGCCTTTTGGGATTAGAGATGCAGAGCAGGCATCAAACAGCCTTGGTTTGATTCCCTAGGTTAGGAAGTCAGGTTTTTGTAGCCCCTTGCTCTCCTTATAAATACTAAAATTCTAAAAACTGCAATATGGAAGTAGTTAATATGAAGCAGAGTCTTTCAAGTCATCAACTAGCTTAACATGGCTGATTTATTTTTTAGGGGAAAAAAACCAGTTTATTAATCACAGATGTGCGTGTTTCTAGTGTTAAGAAAGCTGGGACCAGAATGAGAATTCCCATTTCCCTTCCAGGTTCAAAAATTTGCCTGTTTGTTGGAGGTAACTTTATCTTCTAGTGTGAGAGGGTCAGAACCCATGCTGCCTGCCCTTTTTCTTTAGCTTCAAAAATATATTTATGGACTCTCAGTGAACTCTCTGACCTCACCACCAGAGCAACATACGTGGTTTTAACTTTGAGAGAAATGGCAGTTAAATGCCTTCTTTTCTTATTGTGGCTATGAATTATAAAACAAAGCCCATCCATTAGGGGTTTTTTTTAAATACTTTATTGAATTGCAAAGCTGTCTCTGCTTGAGCAAATAGTGACTTCATTAAATTTGATGGTTTCTTCTTGGATTGGTGTTGCTGTTTGTGATCGTTACATGTGTGTTGTTTTTTTTTCTCTCCAAGATGGCCATCTGTTGCATTTATCTTTTCTAAAAGGGAATCTGACACTCACTAGAAAGTTTACTGTACTTGAAACACAGTTGGGGTTAGCATACCCCAAATTTATTCCATCTGGTTTGGTTTTAAAAGTCCATGTTGTTCTTGGTTTAATTCTGAATACTCCTTTTTCTTCTTAGCATGTTTCAGTGATAAAATACTCTTGAGCAACCCTAGAAAAACAATTTGCTATGTAGTCATAAAGGAAACAAAGCCAATTTACTGTAAACATTCCCAAGCATGGTAATCAATCAAACCAAGTCTGTATCCCTAATTATATAGATAGAAGTAGTATATAGCGATGGGGCAGGGGGAAATACACACTTGTGTGGCTGTTCTCACAGTGAAGGTGAAAGGTCTTTCTGTGCTGTCGAAAATGCCTGTATTGGATATTGATATTCCCTAATGTTTGGATCTGATACTGCCTCTACTTAAATATATGAACTTGAGCACCTAGGTTTTTTCATAACTCTGCTCTAGTATTGTAACTGGTCTCCTGAGGAAGGGGATGGAAGTAACAATTGGAGAATCTGGGCTCCTGTCAGCTGGGATGGGATGGAAAAATGAACAGTAAAGAGTGTCACTGGGAAAATACTGGCATGGAATATTTGTAGTGAGTATTAACATTGACCTATGAGGCTGTAGGGGTGTTTTCTGCAAATTTAAGGAGGGGCAAAAAATCAAATCTGACCTCTGAAGAGGCTAGTGGGCTGGTATTCTGTTCAGGTTAACACTGGTGATGTTAAACCTTTCTTTTTTTTTTTTTAATACCTTTTAAAATAAAATTTTATATTTAAGCTGAAACGTTTATGGCAATGCAGTATTTTTACTAATTTTAAGCTTTTCCTTCTTCGCTAGTGCTTTCATGCTTTAAAGAGCAAAGTGGAACACAGTGCTATCATTTTGATGTACTGCTAACACTTTGTCCACTTTTATGATTCCCTGAAGCCCTAATAATACTTCAATAAGCACTTCGTATTAAATCATGCAGAAGAGAAGATGAGAAGCAGTTACATGGTGCATGCCAAATGAAAACTAATGCTGTGTGGGAGGATATGGCTAAAGTATGTGCTGCAAAACATGTCTGGCTAACATTGTTTTGTCTCTTAGATCCTCTCCACTTGAGCAGAGTGTACGTATTTCTTCCTGTTCTCTTCCCTCCTGCCCACAAACTCTTGGCTGACTTGGGTTAAGAGTAGGAGTGGTACAGCAAAAGTGCAGTCAGACAAAAATACTCGTCTCCCAACAGTTTCAGGGGCTCTACATTGTGCTATTCAGTTTTACAAGAAATTTGGTAGTTAAGTGTTGATTGTCAAAAAGATGGTTGAGAATTTGAGGAGGTGGAGCACAGGTTTTATAAAAAGAAAAATGAGTTTATTAACTGCAGGCATGTTACATGCTTAGAGATAGGCATGTTTATCTAAAAGTAAATCTTACGCAATCAGTTACTGCATTGCCACGCTGCCTTTTTCTTAGAAAGGAGTAATTGTAAAGGAAAGAAATACAACAGATACAAAAATACAAAACAGTACACGGTGAACTTCTGCAAAGTCTTAATTGCTTTTTTTTAATAAACAAGTGTATGTGCTCCATTTTATTTGTATGGAAGGAACTTATATGAACCATTGCTTGGATGAAAAATGTATCCAAATTAAAGAAAAACTTGGCTGAGTGATTATAACATCTTCAAGCTTGGGAGTCCTGAAAACAAAGCATTTAGTGCTTTGAGAAGCTTACAAGAACAGCAGCACTGTTTTCTACTCTTCTGTGTCCCGCTAGCAAAGTGGCAGAAGGTTATTTATTGATATACCCATCAGCTGATGTTTGCTTTGATTTCCAAAACAAGGTATCTGATAAAAATTAAAAGATGCAGGATACAGTAAAGGTAAAGTTGAGTTTGAGAAGTCGTAACTTCTTACAGACGTTTAATAGGAGATTGTTTGGATTCCTGTGGAGAGCTTGCAGATGGTTAGAAGTTTTGTTTGGAATTTTTTTAATAAGCAGACGACTTTTTTTTTTTTTAATGAAAAGTCTGTCATGATGTGGATGCTGATGGCTAGTAGGCTTGCTTTTCTTACATATGTGCTGAGGGCCCTTAAGCAGTAACCCACGGGCCTTGAGGGATACTCAGATTGCAAGTTGAAAACCACTATAATAGATAATTAATTTCTTCCTTAGGTTTCCTGCTTCAACAAGAAAACAATGTGGTAATTCTGTAGCACTGCTATCCCAAGATTTGGAGACAAAGTCAACTAGTGTAACTCTACATCTGCTTTTTTGGTAGTACCCATTACTTAAAGCCTCGAAACCAAGTTAATGGCATAATAGGAAGTCTCCTTATCTGTGTGCAGCACAGCTATAGCTGTGGCTAGAAGATAATTCTGTAGATGAATCCTGATTCTGGGTGACTTGCTTTAAAGTGTTAGCAGCTAGCTTGTTGGACTGAAAGTAAGCTTTACAAAGTTTATCTTCTGCTTTATGGAAACATGATGAAAGTGATGGTTAATAGGAATTATTATGTATGTGTTCATACAGTGTAAGCTACAGGAGTTGTTAGCATCAGAGCTGATGTATCTTAACAGTCACGTGCCATTTGGATTTTATTAGAATAGAGAAAAATCTTGACAAACAGCCTTATAGATCACAATTTTGGATTCCAAGGAAGGGATGCCTCTTTTGGAACAGCTTGAACAGTGAAGGAAAAATAAAAAGTTCTACTTTATTATATTCACATTTTATGTCTCTTTCCTCATCTCCGTTCAAAGCCATAATTTGCACTTAAAACTCTGTGGAAATAGAGCAGGCTCACATACTTGTGCGTAGATCCAAGGCATTCAGGTGTACAATGAAGTGTATTGCCACATCAGTGTGACTATACTATACTACAGAATTCAAACTCTCTGGTCAGACAGGCAATACACTTCTTACAGAAAAGCTGCCAGAAGAGGTGACCTCAACATCTGTGTCAAGCTTCAAGAAGGAACACAAGCAGTGCATTTAATTCTCAGCAGTAGAAACATTCAACAAAACATTATTTATGTCATCCTTATATAAACTATCTATCTACAAAAGCACACACATAGGGGAAAAAAAACCCCTATTTGACAACCTGGGAGAGTCATGTTAATACGCTAGTGGTAGATAATATTCACAGGAGTGGTGTTATAAGAATGTGTCCAGAAAAAAAGTATCTTTTTAGGAAAAGAGAATTGCTGGGGGAAAAAGCATTGTGCTGCATGGGGAAAAAAAGAAAAACCTGACCAGTGGGTCTCACAATATCTAACCAGCGGGTGTTTATCATAAGCATACGGTCCAGTTCAAGTGACAGGAGCCTCGGTGGGAAAGTAGTATTGACCTCATGCACACATAACTATGGCTTGAGAAAAGTTTATCCTTTTGTTTGACTACAGAACTTCAGGCATTGTCATGCTGAGAAATACTGCTGATCCTGAGATTTGAACAAATGGGCTTTTAAACTTAGATGTTCTGTGCCTTTTTAAAAAACAAACAAAACAACAGCCAAAAGTCTGAGAAGATTTAAGCAAAAGACGGACATTTAGCTGTTCTCTGGATTCTTCTTCCCACTTTCCCAAGGGTAGAGGAAATAAATAAATGATGAAAGTAACTAGATAATTTGTAGTAAAATTTGGTGTTTGAAAAGTAATTTACTCATGTCATTGAGGCAATTGTTTTCGCTCTTCATGTCCATGCTCAAAGCAGTATACATTAAAAGATAAAACAAGCGTATCCTTCCGTAAAGTTAGATGACATATGGAAAGTATAGTCGACTATCAAATAAGTATCAGCAGTGGTTAGTATGAATTATAATTAAGGCAGGAGCGACTTAATGAAGCTTGACTGTTGTAACCATGTAAATGGTGCTTACGTGTGGGTGGCCACGTGCAGCACGAACACTGCCAGTTGTGGTGTCATTAAAGGCCAGATTACTTCAAAATAATCTGGTTGATTTGTCCATAAATCCAATCTAATATCCATTATTACATGTGTCATTTGCCTTGTTTCTCACTTACCAGTGTTTCAGCTTTAAAATGCTCCCCTCGTTCTTTTTTCAGACTCCCTTTCGGTCTCCAGCAATGATGCCAGTCCTCCTGCTTCAGTAACATCACTTCAGCCCCATATGATCGGTGCACAGAGCTCCCCAGGCCCCAAGCGCCCCGGCAACACTTTGAGAAAATGGCTTACCAGTCCTGTGAGGCGTCTTAGCAGTGGAAAAGCAGACGGGCATGTCAAAAAACTAGCCCACAAGCATAAGAAGAGTAGAGAGGTTCGCAAGAGTGCCGATGCAGGCTCTCAGAAGGATTCTGATGATAGTGCAGCGACCCCACAAGATGAAACTGTTGAAGAGGTAAGCGCAGCTTCCCAAGACTTGTTTTTATGTTTTTCAAAGAACTAAATGTTGTCAGGTGAAGGTTGTCTCCTCAGTTGACTGTCCAGCAGTTGAGCAAAGCAGCACATGCCATGTGCTCATTCTTAATGACTGCTGTACTCTGCATAAGTGCTGTGCCAGGCACAGTTTGTGCCCTTCTGCATGGACGGTGTTAGTAAACCTCTGTGGAGAAGGATCTCTGGTTGAAAAGGAGAAATGGGAGAGTAAAAAGTTGTTCTTTGGCTTTGCGGTCTTATCCTACTCAGGAAAGCAGGTCTGTGAGTAAAAAAGCGCTTCATGTTCTGGAAATAATTGGATCATTTTGTATTTCCTTTTGTTTTCTTGTTGGTGGATCAGGGGGAAATATAGGGAGAGCTGCTTAACTGCTTAAAGGTGTATTTACACCTTGAGCAAGAGTTAGAGCGCAGAAAAATTACTGGCCCTTCAAATGAAAAGGTACTTACCGTCGGTCAAATAATAAACATGGAAGTTTTCATTGGAGGGAAGGAAATTGTGAACTATTCCAGATTTTGCCGTTAAGGACACCTAGTGAAGGTTTCCCTTCCTCCCACAACCATGTGCCCATCCTTCTAAGCCTGGAACTCATGTACAAGCAAAGCCTGCCTCTGGTTAGGTTCAGACAGAGCCAAATTCTCCTCTGTTACAAACCTGTGGTTCAGCCTGAAATGAATGGCATCTTACAGCTTCCAAGGGCACAGCCACTTGCATGCTATGCAGTTATTCCCTTTAACCAGGCTTGAGTCTGACTAGCGGTTTTGATAGTTATCATACAGAAAAGTGATTTCAGATGCCTAATTAGTTATTTTAGTACATTTTTTTTTTCTTGCTCTCGACGTATTTTGCTGCAGGCTTGGAATATCAGTGAAGTTATACAGTAAATGCAGGGAAAGAAAAGACTAGACACTTGGCAGCGTGGTGAATTGGGAGATGTGGTTTGGGAAGGAATATTGGCCTCTGTCCTTGAATGTCAGGCTGTAGAAAGAGACCCTCTGTGATGCAGTGGTAGCATTGTTTTGGAAGTAGCTGTTATTCTGCAGTTCTGAGAGTGAGGGAAAACCTAAGGCCAGTGTCTTAAAGTCAGGAAAAAACAATAATCACCTATGCTGTCTTCCTTTAAAGATAGTTAAATTATCCTGTGAGATCAGTTACACTAAACTTTGGCTAATTGAAATTGTAGTTCCTTGTATAATTGAAAGGACTGTCTTTCAATACAACGGTAAAAATTACTGCTCTCACTACTTTGGGGGTAGGGAGTGACAAAATACTTCATGTTGTAATACGGGGGGGTTTTTATATCCTTTAGAAGTCTTGCTATGAGAGTTGGTACTTCAGATACAAAGTTCTTGACTTCCTAACTTAGAGGAATGTGGCGCTCTACTGAACTGAACTTGGAAAGCAAGCATGGCTTTGGTAACACTTTCCTGTAGTGTATTTCAAGCTGAACATCTTGTTCTCAATATCTCAATCCATCTGCTTTTACTAAACACTGAAAACATTCTCTTTGGCATCTGCTTTTTTCTCCCTCTGTTGAGGAGTAGGACTGTGTTTGTAGGATCATCTTGACTTGTTGGGAGAGAGGTGAATCTACAGAACAGACTTGTTTAAGACAAGTTTGTGTTGAGCAAGCTTCATGCTGCTTAGGAGGTAACAGAGCTTAAATGTCTTGCTTTCACTTACAGAGAGGTCGGAATGAGGGGCTGAGCAGTGGCACTCTCTCCAAGTCGTCCTCTTCAGGCATGCAGAGCTGTGGAGAGGAGGAAGGTGAAGAAGGAGCTGATGCTGTACCGCTTCCTCCTCCAATGGCAATCCAGCAACACAGTCTTCTCCAGCCCGACTCGCAGGATGACAAGGTAGGAGGAGGAAGCAGGGAAGGCTTCGTTGAGAGACCCTCTGTTTGCTCAAATCTTTCTTCTGTTTCCAAAATCTCTGTAATGCATGTAATATAGCTTTATGGCGAACAGAAGTAATCACTATGCCACTTTAGACACCATTAAAAGGGTTTCATGTGGAAAAAAAAATTAAATGCATCTCTATTTTAAAAGCACAAGTGCAGAAATTTTTCTGCTAGCACTTTAAACGTGGAAATGGGCCACTTTGTGTGTTTGCAGGCCTATTTACATCTGTTTAACAGATGCCATATTTAAAGATTAGAATTTAATTGTTTTATAATCATACTTTTGGGTACTGAGATTCAAATACTATTTGCAAGTAAAGTTTATCTGGAGAAATTAACAGTTGTACATAATGGTTTAGATCATAGACTGTTCACCAAGTCCTACTATAGTGGATTGTCTCAGTTCAGGGAAAACAAAACCAACAAAGAAACTTCTAGGTACATATCTTAGCAGAAAGAGCTATTCACATCAACTCTAAGACTCCAAGATATTTTTGTATAGCAGCATAGCTTTTTTTCTTTTTTTTTGGTGCCTCTACAAGTATACTATTAAGTTAATATCCAAATAAGGGTAATAATCCAGGTGGTTTTTACAAAGGCACATAAAAATTGAGGGTAAAAATTTTACATCAGTAATGAAATTCTGGATATAGTTAGTAACTGCATGAAGGAGATCTTACTTGCATGTTATCTGTTTTTCTTAAATGCTGTGATGTTCATACATTGGGAGGATTTATTTCACTTTTCAACCTGGATCAGATGTTTAGGGGACAACTATGAAGCCTGGAAATAGAAGGGTTTAAGTAGAAACAGCGTGGATTTGTGCAGCAAATATTCACATTCACTGTTTACTTCCTATTTTGCTGCTTAAAATGTTTAACCATTGTAATCTACAGCATGAACACTAGTAGTGAATTTTGTGTGTGCTTACTCACTGTTCTGAGTGATGCAGATGTGATTGATTAACTTTGGTTGATCTTGTTGACTCTTTTTTTCTTCCTTTTATCCCACTGCCTTTCAGTGGGGATCTCAATCATCTCTGAAGCTATCGTTTGTAGGATCAAAATTGCTGGCTCCTGTGCTCTATGCGTATTTAATTCCTACATGTTTTCCAAATGGAAAAAGTGTAATATATGAGTTGGGAGAGTTAATGTATTGGGAAATATTCTTGAAACAAAATAGGTACAATAGGCATTTTAAAATTTTGCCAGCCTTTAGACTAGCAATATTTTATTGCTAGAAAATACAGCTAGCTCTCAGTTCGAGGTTTAGAAATAGAATAAAAATAATGGTGGAAATATGTTAAAATTTCTTGCTGATAAGCTGCCAGATTTGCATGTCCCTTCAGTGATATAAAAAAATTTATATGTAAGCCTTATAAAAATTTCTCCAGAGAAAAATGGGTTTTGCTTATACAGTTCTTTTTGCACAGTAAGAACAGTTACTTGAAGGGATATGCTTGTAAGTTAGTGTCCGTTCACTTCTGTATTTCTGATGCAAAGTAAGACCCTTATCACAGTAGAGTAAGAGGCTTTGAGTAGTTTTCAATCCCCACTAAAATTTTACTTTTCACTTCTTAAGAGGTTAACATGCACCCACTGCAGTAAAAACATGTTGGGACAGTTTTTAAGTAGCTTAAACTGCATTCTAGAAAAGGCTTCTGAGAAGTTAAAATTTGGTACAGTTAATATTACACCATTTTTTTTCAAAACATGTAAATCATGAGTCATTAAAGGTGTATTGGTTTTGTGCAATATCTGTCCTACTGCATGGTGGGAGACAAAAAAGTCCCTTCTTTGGCAGCCTTGGAGGTTGTGTGTGCCTCCCTGAAGTCCACACACCAAGGCATACCACCTATTTCCAGTACCTAAAGTAAACGTTTTACTGGAACGCAGAAGTGAGAAGCCAGAGTCAAGTTTTACCCAGCAGAAGTCGTCAGTTGGCCCTATTGATGGAGTCAGTGATTAATAAAAGGCCTGCAAACAAATTCCCAGTTGTCTGCCTTCTGGACGAAGCCGTCCTTCACATTCCTGCCACGCTAGGTGGTTTCTTGGGTTCCTCTGGATCCCGAGGAATGTCTCCTCCTTTCCGTGACCTCAGAGACTTGGCTTCCATCTGCACCTCATTGTGAGCATTTCTTCCTCTCTAGGGCTCCTGGTCTACACTCAGTGCTGGAAACTCCCTGCTCGCTGGGTTTCTCCCTCCCTACCCAGCCCACTATGGGCTCCAGGAACATCTTACACCTGCACTTGCTCTGTTGCTCCCTCCATCTTTCCTTATTTTCTGGGCAAGGAGTGTGCTCTGCTCCCAGAGTACATTGTCAGGAAGAAGGTCAGCAGGCAGACTTCACCTGTGCAGCCTGGCAGCTCCTTTTTTTATCAGATATTATATGATATAACTATATAAACTGGAAACCAACCAGTTTGTAAGTTTTACCAACAGTCACAACCCCTATACTCCCATAGAGCAGTAACAGAGAGAAGGGACCTTGACCCAAGTCTGATTCCAACGCTGCCAGTGTTTTGTAAGGCTAAGCTGAGCTCCACGTCCAAAGTGAAAACCCGCATATAAGCACAGCTTTGGAAAACCTGGTCAACAATCAGATGTTGGGAGCACGCAATTGCCTTAAAGGACACACTGGCTGTGGGATTGCTCAGTTTTTGGTGTGCATGCAAACATCTTGCGGTAGGCCATGCTGAGTTGTTTAATAACACTAAATAGCACAACCATTTTCTCCCCTAAAGAGCTCATCTGCACAGCATGCATTCTTCTGTTCAGGAGAATCATTGCACACTTCATGGATTTGCATTTGATGGCATTTTACAAGTTGTTTGCATTTAATTTTTGGATAAGCAGCATTAAAGTTTCAAGATCAGTTATGTTAATATGAAACTAATTATTTTTGCTTTTTGTTTTCTCTTTTTGTAACTCTGATGCAGCATTATGTTGACTTGTGTTCTGTCTCTGCTTTGGCTCAGTTCCCGTATCTTTCCATTTAAAGTTGTCTGTATTTTCTTTGCTTACCCAACCCCTGTTTCCCTTTCCAAATAAGACGAATACAAGGCAAACTACCTAAAATCTGTATATTCTTTTTTTTTTGTGTTGACGTATGGGGAGCCTTGTTACACCCATGCTTGATTTGAGCAGAACCTCCTGTGTTAAGTCATTATACGTGCCATTTCTTTGTCTAATTTGTGGGAAACGTTTGCAGGACAGCTTACTCTGTGCTACATGATGTTCACTGTACTGTTCGTAATATGAACTAAGGTTCATATTACACCCTGTTTCCACTTTCCAGTTATTTAACGATAATTGTAATATGCAAACAACTCTGTTTGCAAATTACTGACACTGAATTTAATGGCCCTCTCCCAGAATCCTTTACTGTTGAACACCTTTTACCTTCAGTTGTATCTATAAACTGGCATTTTATAGCTTATGAGGCCAGAGATCTTCTGTGCTCTACACATACCATTGGGGAAAATGGATGGCACAAGGAATGGTGAGCTCAATTTCCCCTCTGAATCTGGGCAATATACCCCAGCTCCTTTAGAAAAGTAAATGCCCCTCAGTTACTGGTATATTTGTTCTTAGCTTAATGATGCTTTCTCCTATATTTCAAGTCTTCTTGGTTGGTTCCTGTTACTTTTCTGCAATTGTTGCTTTGTTTAACCACCAATAAAATATGCTAACAAACTGTTTGTTGTCCATTTGGTCAGCTCAGGTGATTTTTTTTTTTTTATAGCTGTTTGTCAGGCATTATCATAATCAGCAAGGTGAAGGATATATCCTTGACTTCTATTGCATATAGGAGCAGGAATTTTTATCCCAGCATTTAACTTCTGTGGGGATTACATAAAATTTCCGATTCCGGTTGTTCAGGTTGGAAGGGATGATCTTAGCGTTACACTGACAGTTACTGTCAGGTACCTTTGTCTAACAGAGAAGAGGAGGAGATCCCTTGATCCTTGAGCAAGTACCAGGCTAACTTTGGGCTTTTCCTTCCTTTGTGTCATTGCACAGACATCTTCTCGATTACTGGTGCGGCCAACCAGCTCCGAGACACCCAGTGCTGCAGAACTAGTCAGTGCAATTGAAGAGCTCGTCAAAAGTAAAATGGTGAGGCTGGCTGGCATATGTTTAAAGAAGTTGCATTTTCAAGTCCCAACTTGCCCATCCTGAGCATACCCATTTGACTTGTATAACTTGATGCCTGTTTCAAAAGTCACTTTCTGGGTTGGTGTACGGGTTGCTTTGTACATCCTCTTTTGTGAAAGCACTTACCGAATAGGTAATTGGCTGCGTAGAGAAGCAAAAAACCAATAGATACGAGGGAGAGAAGATAGAAAATTTATTTCCTGTTAGTAAAAAGAAAATGTCCTATTAGTAAAATGAATGCTAAGCCCCAGGGTTACCCCAATTTGCCTGATAGACCTTTATGAGAAGAATCCTTGAGACTGAATTTACAGCAAATCTTGCAGAATTCAACAGTAAAGCAGAGAACCCTCACACAGAGAAATTTGTTATCTAACTTTTTTTAAGCAACGTGGTAATGAAGAAATAAGTAAAAGCGTAAAAGGATCATTTTGTATGTTAGTGACTCCTTCTTTGCTTTGCAGTGTTTGCTGACAAATTCAGTAGGAGGAATTTGTGTCAGCTTTTTTAAGTTTCCTTGTTTTAAAATTTCTCTATTTCTGAAGATGCTCATTGACAAAGAATAGGGAGTATGACTAATACCAGGAAGGCCCTCCTTCGTAGTCAAAACGTGACTTGACCTGACCTGGAAAACCTGCTTTATATGACCCTGTTTGACAAGGGGGATTAGACTGTATGGGCTCAGGAGGTCCCTCAGCAATTTTGTCATTCGCTCAAAACCTTTAAGTCTGACTTTTGCAACATAGACCCTGTTGGGCTTAGTAGAAGTGCTGCTGTGAAAACTCTACAAGAATTGCAGCATGGCAGCCCCACTTTACCAGAAGTTGAAATTTTCCAGGCTTGTTCTAAATTTAAGCAGCTTTGAATTTCAGAATAAGAAATTTGAATTTCCATTTTATATTTCCTCATTCAGAAAGAGTTACACTTCACTTACATTACTGCATGAAATAATTTCTGCAGTCTCTTAGAGTATTAACTTTGCTTTTTATTTCTCTTCCACCAAAAGGGTGAATAAAAATTAATCTGTGGGAAAATTCAAAGCAACCTTTTGTAAATGGAAAGTTTGACAGTCCGTGTGTCTCCCAGGCAGCCTAGCAGTGGATATAACGTAATGATCTGTGCATATAGTCTCTGGTAGAGATGTTCTCATTTCACAATTTTCGCCAAGGGTCAGTTTCTCCTCGGTTTTGGACCAGTCATATCATTATTGGGTTTTTACTTTTAGTAGGGAAACAGAAAAGATTACAGCTGAACCCCACCCTGGTGAAGTAAATGTGTCTTGCATTAAAGCCTGTATCACATTCAAGGAAAAAGTGATACATAACTGTAGCTTTATCCAAGATTATGGGCTTGAATTAAAATCAAAAAAATACTTCATAGAAGCTTGTTCGTATTATTTCTCCCATGGCTTCTCCATCTTTTGCACAAACAGAAAGCTGCGGAGTCTATGCAAGGGAGACTGTATCTGGCAGAAGAGGGAAGGACTCTTTCCTGCAATCTGAACTGTCATGAAGCTCAAAAGCAACATTGACTGTAGAAGTCATTATTTTTTTCAATGAGTCAATATTTTGGCTAGTTAATGTGATAAAATGTCTGACAAAGAATGCCACTTCTGTTGTAATAAAAAAATGTAACATCCAAAGAATTTCCTTTAAAGATGTCCTATTTATTATTGAAAATAACTTGCATATGCCAGAACTAAAGTATGACGAAAATAATTTAATCCCCGTTGATATGCACACGTCTGTGTAGCTTCCACCATAGAAGTACTGACATCTTGAGCAGGATAGTCTGATTTTTATCTCTTGCTGCTTAAACCAACTGAATCTTTTCTTTTCCTGTGAAGGAAAGACTCATGTATCTCAAATGTGCTTCTATAAGGTTAGGTTATCAGTCCTGGAAAGTCAAGTTGTTTGTTGGTTTCTTGGAAGCCTGAGACCACCTTTGCCAAGATACATTCCAGTAATTGATATCCCATAGGTTCCTGTCTACAGCTGCATGTAAATGCATCTTGTCAATAAAGGGGAAATAAGTCATTGTTGCTGTCTGTCTTGAACACCTTCGCAGGCCCTGGAGGACCGTCCAAGTTCCTTGTTGGTAGATCAAGGTGACAGCAGCAGTCCGTCCTTCAACCCTTCAGATAACTCCCTTCTCTCCTCCTCATCACCCATAGATGAGATGGAAGAAAGGAAGTCCAGCTCCTTAAAAAGACGACAGTAAGACCACATTTTCAGTCCTTTTTTGACAATGTTTTGAAGAGATAAATGAAATGTTTTAAAAATGTCCATTTTGAACTGGCAGCAGAAACTGTTAATCTGGAAAGGGCAGGACTTGTGTTAGGTGTCAAGCATGCAGTCACATTATGCAAGGAAAAATTTTTCTTAAACAGTCACAGTTTCAATTTCCTGTGATTCTTAATTTTAGTTATACCTGTGTTTGACTTGTGACACATGTCAGTCACAGTTATGCAGGAAGATGCTGATCTTTAAATGTTGAAAGGGTGATTAGGCTTCAAAAAACCTGGTAGCTCCCCTTGTTCTGTTCCACCACACTCTTAATTTCTTTATGTAATAGTAAACTGTTACCATGGTAGAACAAAAACATGCCTGCTTTCAAAATTATTTAAATCTGTGGGTAGAAATAACAGTTCACATACTTAAGAGTCTCCAGACCAGAGAATAATAGCATTTTATTTTAAACAATAGTTAAATGTTTAATTTTAATGACACGTGTAAGAAAACATCTGACTTTAGATAAACAGAAGTAAGCTTGCTCTGGTTCCAAAGTCAAAGCAGCATCTTGCTTAGAAAGAATGTGCATTAATTCTTCCATTTTCAGCTCTGCTTATCAAACATATGTGACTGCAAATGTGTGAAAAGCTGTACACCATTAATCCTCTTAAAGAATCTGTTTCATTTTTTTAATGAAATGTGTGTTCACCATTTTCTTTCCGTTGTAGCTATGTGTTACAGGAATTAGTGGAGACGGAGCGAGATTATGTACGAGATCTGGGCTACGTAGTTGAGGTATGATGTTTTTCATTCTCTTGATTTTTTTTTTTTGGTGTGGTACTGATCAGCTGTGTAGCTTGAACCTCACGATTTTTTCAAAACAAACCAGAGGAAGAAACTGAAAATGTGAATGTTGGCATTCTGAGTTTTCCCTCCTGCAGGCTTTTAACATGTTGGAAATATTGCATCAGATCTCATTCCTTTTTTTTCTTCCTGTTATTGTGTGCACCTTACTGTTCTTCTGAGGAGCATAGTTAGTAATTTTTTAAGATCACTACCTCTGGCTTACTAGACTAGATGGTTTTATTTAGCACAACTAAATTCAAAAAAGCATTGTAAGTCAGCAGATAAAGGAACTATCCTGAATTTGAAAGACTTACTTCCTCTCTACTGCTAGGCTTCTCTTACACTTCCTAGTTTTCCCCTTCTGTACCAACAAAATGCATTTGGAAGATTAGAGAGGATGAGCATGACAGTGAATTTCAGCCTAACAAGGTTCAATTCTTAAACTCTGTTTTAAAGGGAGGGAGAGAAAGAAAGATCGGCATTGTGGTAGTCTTTTTTACAGTATTTAAAGGGGGCATGGAAGACTGTGAACAGATGTATTTTTGTAACTAACAAGATAATTCCTGGTGAAAATGCTAGACGTCAAAATATAAACTTTGTAAACTAAAACCGGACTTGGCTAATTAGGAATAGAAGTATTAGCAAAAAAATAGAAGGAATAATGTTGCATGAATACTACAAAATCTAAAAACACTCCCAGCTCTAACTATGTGATAGAAGTGCACAGTGAGACAAGTATATACACACCAAAAACGAGAAGACAGGACTATGGGAAAATGAAAAGGAACTTTATTGCAGCCAGAATGCTTGCTACTAGAATTGATGTTCAATTTTTGGGGTGTTTGGTTTGCTCATACCGCAAGTAGTAGTGCATGCAGTGCAATCCCTTATGCAGCACAGCCGCTTTCTTCCTCAGCGTTTCAGTGTGGATGATGGAAATAAGCAACACTGAGCAGAGGAGAGCAGAAGCCAGTTCGGTGGCTCTGACCTGTATTTGGTAACAGCCCTACCTGGCAAAGCACCGCAGCTGCTTCAGACAAGAAGGAGAAGGGCTGTAGAAGTTTCCTCTATGCTTTGAGCCTGTTCACGCAGGCTAAATTATTTAGAGTGAACTCATCTTTCCTTCTAGCACGCGCAATGTTTAGCAGATGACCTCAAGCCAGTTCGTGATATTTTGTGTCTGTGCTCTGTGTTATGCTATGTTTTTTGATTTGTTTTTTGTGTCCCAAGCAAGCTGTTGTCCTGGGCAATTTGGAAAGCTTCTGGAGAAAGGGGGATTAAAAGACAACTCGCTGCTTTAAGTTAAAATGTTCACAGTGAATTTCCTTGGACTGTTGCAGGGTTATATGGCACTCATGAAGGAAGATGGCGTACCTGATGACATGAAAGGCAAAGACAAGATTGTATTTGGAAACATTCACCAGATTTACGACTGGCACAGAGAGTACGTATTAACTTGAAAACCATCTGCTGAACAATTCTACCTAAAAAATAGTAGATTGACTTTAAGAATTTTTTTTTCTTAAATATTCAGATAGAAGGTAAATACAAGTTGGTCTTGTGCTTTGAGTTGTAGATACTGTAGATTCAGCTTACAAATGTTGGTATAAAGATTTGCTTTAAACAAAGACGCTTATATGTACCAAGTGCTTCAGCTGAGAGTCTATAGTATGGATAGTATTATGTACAGAAGTTTGTTACGTTGTTTGAGGCTTTGTTTTCAAAAATGTTTTCTCTAAGAATACAGTTTAAAGAATTTGTTAGGGGTTAGCATGGCAATATGAGCACCTCAGGCACTCAGACTAGGAAGGAGAAAAGTTTCAATCAATATATGAAATTAAAGAATTCTATTAATAAACACCAGTATTTTTTTCATTTTGACATGGATTCAGTGTGTCTTGTTGGAAATCTTTGTTAAAATATTACACTAACATTGTAATTTTGGACATACATTAATATCGAAAGCTGCTGATCGGGACACAAAGCAGACCTTGCAGTAAGACCACTGTGCCTTGCAATCACCTGTTGCTGTAGTGTGTGCTATCAGAAAAAAAGTGCTTATTCTGTTTATGTTCAGCTTCTTTTTAGGAGAGTTAGAGAAGTGCCTTGAAGATCCAGAAAAGCTGGGATCCCTGTTTGTTAAGCATGTAAGTGCAAACGTTGTCTTTGGCAAACCCCTATTACTGCTGCTGACCAACATGTTTGATTATTAAGGATTTATCTATGAGAGAGCAGAAGGGAAACTTGCCTGCTAAATGTGATCATTCACAAAGACTTTGCAAAGTGTGCAAAGACTGAAGACAGACTGAATTAAAGGAGATTTAATGGGTTTCAGATTTTCCCCGCGGTCTGTGTTTGGAGTCGATACCAGGGTAGCAAAAGAGAACCAAACATTAATGGAACAGTAACACTGGAAGCCAAGTCTAATTCCTGGACTAATGATGAGGAATGAGCTGTTTCATTTCTGAGGGATTATTATTAAAAAAAAAAAAAAAGGCAGGCATGGGAAGAGGGGACATTTCTAGCACGGGTGAAATGGGAAACCTGAAGGGAGTGACTCTCCCTGTTTCCAATTGCTGTTTTACTTTCTCCCCGTATGTTTGTAACTGAGTTGTCTTTGAAACGCACCCTTACCACTCCAGATGGAAAGACAAGCTGTGATGCTATTACATCCTCTAGCAAAACCCTGACTATCAGCTAGGACATGACGATTCAGTTCCTGCTCTTTATCTATGTTCTGTGTCCTTTTAAATCTCCATCTTACTTCTTCCTTTTTTGCTTTCCATTTGTCTTCACTGGTCAGTATTTCCTAAGTCTCTGCAGCAAAGCCTCTAGTGCCAAACCAATCCTAGCAAAATGATAAGGAAGATTTTGGAATAGGTAATAGGTGCATATGGTATGTCTGTGTTTCTTAACCAGCAAGGTTGGTAATGAAGAATGAATTTTAAAGGCTGAAGTTATGCTCTCTCTCATTTTCTTTGTTGCCTTGGTGTTAAAAGCATATGCACAAAATACAGAATCAGAGTTAAAAAATACTAGCACCACCATTGCCAGGTTATGTCACCTACGTCTCCGCTCAAACTCCAATAGGACAGCTAATACTAAATGGAAGACTGAGACATTTCTCCTAACTGCTCTGTACAGCTAAATAGGAAGAAGTCATTCTTCTAATAAATTAGAATAATAATCAGATTACTAAAATATAATTAAAAATAGGATATTTCAAAGGCTCCATCCATTACTCTTGCTGAAAGAAAAAGATAACTATTTTCCTACTTAATTTTATTGAGACCTCCTGAGCTATCATCTCTAAACACCTGTTGTTCAGGAGTATTTATAACTGTGGCAATTTTCTGACTTGTATTGCCTTTCTAAAATCATCATGATATTCCCAAATAAATGTGTTTTCAGGTCTATAATTTCTGCTTATGTAGCTGCTTCTTTTCCTCAAAAGGACCTTTTTAAGTTCATACTTTTGAACAGCTGTACTTCTTAAAATAATACTCCATTCAATCTGGCATGCTTTTTTCTTGATGATGATGTATCATTCTGATCTCCGTTTTTCTAGGAGAGAAGATTGCACATGTACATAGTTTACTGCCAAAACAAACCAAAGTCTGAGCACATTGTCTCAGAATACATTGATACGTTTTTTGAGGTAAGTTTCTGAGAGAGGATATATGCAAGGTGAAGGTTGTGTACAAATCATAAGCGTTATCAGATCTGTTGACAAAAACAAACAAAAAAAAAGAGGACATATATTGTTGTTACTGTTTTAAATTATAATTTCTTGCCACTTCCATTCTGATTTCTCAAGTCTGACACGAGCTCCTAGAGATGTATTTATCTCTAGGGGAAGAAAACTGCAGTTTAGGTATAAGATATTAATTAACCAGTAGTGTCTCATCCTTACTACCCTTTGCCCAGGCAGTTAACAGTGCATATTATATGAAGTGACAGTTTGGGATGAGTAAAGATCACTGTTGAAAGTAGATTATATACAACCTGTGATTGAAAAATTGCATATCACTATACAGTCTTTTCCAAAAAAGTTATGGAAGATGCTTGGAAGGTGGAATGCTTTGGAAACAAAGCTGATACAGATAAGGGGAAGGACTCTAGCTTTTGCTAACTGAAAATTATGTTCTGCTCTGACTTTTGCCAATTTCTGCTCTGATAGCCATTAATAGTGATATATCCTGCTGTGTTTCTAACTCAACAAAACAGAGCAAAGTTGTTTCTAACTGAACGAACAAAAAAAAAGTGTTTGTTTTACAACCCTCAGGATCTAAAGCAACGCCTGGGCCACAGACTTCAGCTCACGGACTTGCTAATAAAACCTGTGCAGAGAATTATGAAATACCAGCTGTTACTAAAGGTAAAGTGATGTTGAAATGAATGATTTAATATATGTGTCAATGGATATGCTTTCTTTTTTAAATGTTGCTGATGCTTTTCCACTCTCCTCCCAAACAGAACCCAGATTTGTAAGCAATGTAATATGGTTATTGTCTGAGCATATTCAGATAGTTATAAAAAATGCAGTAAATAACTTGGGCAGAATTTTGCTCCTGCTTTTTTTTTTTTTTTTTTTTTAAACACATAAAGACCAAATGAACACAAGTCAGTGACAGGGAAATGTTTAGAATTTGTACCAATGTCATACGGAGGGGACAGGGATCTCCCAACTGTTTTCAGATGTAAATGTGATATGAGTTGTTGGGTCTCGTTCCAACTACATCTGCAACCATTTTAATATCATGTAAATGTTTACTGAAGAGAAATCCTGTGTATAACAGAGGTCATTGTCTTAATATATGTTCTTATATGATCTCAACCAAAAATAGTGAATAAATCTTAAGAGGAGGGAACGCACTGCAGCAAGAAACTTTAAAAAGAAAAGTGTTCTATGTGTCTTATGCAATCTGTCATTCTCTGAGAGGATAGCAAATGCAGATTTTCTGAGATCTGTTGTTGCTGATTAATGAGAAGAACTTTTTTTTTTTCCCTTTTTCAGGACTTCCTCAAATATTCTAAAAAAGCTAACCTTGACACAACAGAACTAGAGGTACTTGAGACATTTTCTCTTAGTGATTTGAATGTTTTTCGCTCTAATCTTCTACATGTTTTGACATAGAGTTGCTTTCCTTTTCTGATGTTCTTGAGAATGTGATGATGATAAGTGTTTACTTTTTGCATTTCTTTTCTAAAGCAATCATAGCAAATGAAACAAAATTTTATCCTGCTAACTTACTTGGAGAATAAAGCTTCAACTTTTTATTTGTCTTGAACAGAGAGCTGTAGAGGTCATGTGTATAGTACCAAAACGGTGTAATGACATGATGAATGTTGGCCGCCTGCAAGGATTTGATGTAAGTTGGCTGGGGTTTTGCTTAGAGTTTTTGTCACATTCTCCAGAAATTGAACATTAATGTTGTGGGGAGAGTGGGGGAGAGAAATGAGGTAGGGTGTTCTCTCACTATCTGGTTAGCTGGTGCAAAAAGCAGTGAATGAAAAATCAAATCTTAGCCCTGCCAAGAACTTCTTCCTGGGAAGCTTTGCCTGTTGTCAGTCACACCAGGTAGGTCCTTCTGCAAAATCTAAGAAGCGCTGCTGTTATTACAGTTCCCTTACTGACTAAAGACTTGCAAAATAGTGAAGTAATCAGTTATCAGCAGGTGAGCAGACCTGACTTCAGCAGTGTAGGCAAGGGAGGAGTTGTTAAGGTCAGTAAAGTACCTGAGGCAACTGTAGCCCTTCTCTTTTTGCTAAGTCTAGAAGAGATGGAAGTTGGCTATTGCAGCAGTATGCATCAGCCACGCTATAGTCACGTGCTATGCTTGCAAAGCCCTTTCTGCTCTGTGATGCAAGTATGAACTTGAATTCTTCCCCTTTTCAGCACCCTGGAAGACATTAGAAGAATATCTGAGTTACTGTGTTGAGGGTGGCAGGGAAGGAGTTACTGAGACTAGAGAAATGAAGGCCTCAGTGTTAATAAGCCTCAAACTGCAGTATGAATTGAAAAGGGTGGGGTGGATTTTTGGGCTTTTTTTTCTTGGTGATGTTTGTTTTTTGCGAAAGGGCATCGGAACATCTTGTGTATAAGAGGATCAATGAAGGATCAATAAGAGGATCAATGTCAGCAACAATCAGAAATTGGGAAATATACAAAGATATTTTGGTATGAGCTTCTGCTCAAAAAGTTTGATTAGTGAAAGAAATCAAGAACTGCACTAAACGTGTTTCTGCTTGCTTCTCTGTTTAGGGTAAAATTGTAGCCCAGGGTAAGCTCCTGCTCCAGGACACATTCTTGGTTACAGACCAGGACACAGGACTTCTGCCACGCTGCAAGGAGAGACGGGTCTTCCTGTTTGAGCAGATTGTCATATTCAGTGAGCTGCTAGATAAAAAGAAAGGTTTCTCCATGCCCGGATTCTTGTTTAAAAACAGTATCAAGGTAACTGTTGTGTGTGAGTCTTTGCGTCCCCTGCACAAACTCTGCTAAGGTAACAGTTTCTGATTCAGTGTGGACTCACTAGTGCCATCTAGATGCGCAGTCATAAAGCACAGTGAGGTGTCAGTCATTTCCTGAAATTATTTCCTACCGAATTTGTGCTCACTCTGATAATAAATGGAAATCTTTGGATCCCAGCACTCGGACACTTCCCCTGTGAAGCATACCAAAACTGGTGTTCTTGTACAAAGCCAGACAGGCATTCACAAAGTGTTTAGTCTTCAGCTCTGTGCTGTGTGTACACCGCGTTGCAAATAAAGATAATAACTCTTTATGTAGCCCTTCTTATGAGTTTCAGCTGAAATCAGTCCAAATGTGTAGGTAACATCTGTAAGTAGTGCCACCTTCTTAGACATGTCAGCTCTTCTACAAGCAAATCTCTCAAATAAAAAGTGTTTTCTCCCGCTTCAAGCATTGTCTGAAACAAAACCTGTTGGTATTAGTGCCCACCAGCCCTCCTGGTGGAGCGTTTTGTGTGGACCCTCCTTCCCTTAATGCACCTCAGTGCTCTGCCTGCCAGCTGAGCATCCTGCTCATCGCTGACTGGACAGCCCATTCCAAGGCATTGCTGTCTCTGCACCAGAAGTCTTCAGCGCAGGCCAGTGGTAGAGCTCAACAGCGGGCTCAGCATTTTAAATAGCACAAAGGGGAGAGAGGGCCGATGGAGAACATTGGGTTGTACTGACTGGTTGGAGATTGTTCGGGCACAGTGTGTCACTAAGCTGTACACTAATCCTTAGTCTACTGTAATCCTTCATTTCGTGGTACTATTTTAGTGAAGGAAAGAATGGTCATCATTTGAAGATCTGACTTTGAGCTCCTAAGTAAGAGATTTTAGAGGTGTGTTTCTCTTATAAATACATGAAGTAAATTCTCTTTTTTTTTTTTCTTTTTCCATGAAGGTGAGTTGCCTTTCCCTGGAGGAAAATGTGGACAGCGATCCATGTAAATTTGCACTAACATCAAGAACGGGCGATGTCACGGAGACCTTTATTTTGCATTCTGCCAGTCCAGGAGTCCGCCAGTTATGGATCCATGAAATTAACCAAATTTTGGAAAACCAGCGCAACTTTTTAAATGGTAAGTGATTTCCTCTCACTGAAAGTTCATCATTGAATGACTTCTCTCTCATCGGTTGTTTCTTGGCTTTGAAATGTTTTGCAAGTGTCCTTTTTCCTGAGCTAATACAGGACAGTTGGGGAATATGTGACGCATTTCTGCTTCAGAACAGATGCTAGCATTTATGATAAGAGTGGTAGTCTGAATTTACATGGTGTTCTCTTGGTGAAATTTTCCAAATGTTTTGTAGGAGTGAATGAAGATTCGCACCATCCATTGACGTGGAGAGCTCCTGTACCCCTTTTAAGCAAATGCAAGCCTTTAAAGGCTAAACCCAAGTGATTTTAAGCATCTATTCAGAATATGTTTTACTTGTGTTAATTTGGTGGCCATTGTTGTCACGTCTTACTGTGGCAACAACATTCAGATTCTGCAGGAGAAGAGTACAAGATGGTAGTGTCTGCTGTGATGCTTGAAGGTTCTTGCTGTATTTTTGTATCCATCGGCTGTTGGATTTTTTTCCAACAAAAAAAATCTAGGTTATTATTTTTTAAAGAGTTGTAATGGATGGAACAATGATCTGAGAATTTGGAGTCACGCCTGTTTTTTCCCAGCTCTGCTGCTGACAATGAGATCCTACAGGAAAACATATCTCCCTAGTTTCAGATTTTTCATCTTTATTAAAGGTACAGATAGCAGGTCGTGAAGGTGTGATATAGAAAAGTGACTTGAGGTCTACGGCATGACCAGCACTGCTAAGAGAATTTATCTTACTTGAACAGCACTCCCCTTTTGCCAGTAAACATGTCTATTTTAAACTGTTCCTGTTCCCTTTCCTGCCCTCCTTTCCCTGATGCCTCCCCTCCTGCCCTCGTTGCAGCCTTGACGTCCCCAATCGAGTACCAGAGGAACCACAGCAGTGGTGGAGGCGGCAGCGGGAGCAGCAGCGGTAACAGCAGTGGCCCCAGCAGCTGTAGTGGCATCCCCAGCTCCAGCCGTAGCCGGCCATCCCGGATCCCCCAGCCTGTCAGACACCATTCCCCAGTCCTGGTCTCCTCTGCAGCCTCGGCCCAAGCAGAGGCAGACAAGATGTCAGGTATGTCCATTCACAATCTCTCCCTGCCACACTACACCACCTCCTTAGAAACTGGCCTGAGCCAGCCAGACAGGCACCCTCCCCATGCAGAACTGGACGGTCCTCAGAGAGAAGCTGAGCAGATTCCCAAGATGAAAGTTATTGAAAGTCCCAGGAAGACAGCGGGAAACATTTCTGGCTCAGCTGATGGAGCCCAGAAAGACTCACGTGGAAGCTCAGAGGACAGTCGCTCAAGGAACAGCATAGGATCACTGACGCTCGGGAAGCCAAGGCCAGGAGCCATCTCACCAGTGAACTCTCCTCTCTCCACGACTTTCCCTTCTCCTTTTGGCAAAGAAACCTTTCCACCCAGCAGCCCCCTGCAGAAGGGCTCCTTTTGGAGCTCCATCCCAGCATCCCCTGCCAGCCGCCCTGGCTCCTTCACTTTCCCTGGGGACAATGACTCCCTCCAGCGGCAGGGCCACCGCCCCGGACACAGACCGCATGAGCACATGCTCCTCGACCAGCGAGCAGTCAGTTCACTCCACCCAGAGTAATGGGGTAAGAGCGGAGCACCTCTGTCCTGCGAGCTCTTCTAAAACCTTACCATGCTCCCTTTCTGTGCGTTACCATCACTCTCCGTACTAACTTCTGGCTCTCCAGTGCTGTACTGCTCTGAAATAATCAACTATTCGAATACCTCCTGCACATTAAAATCACAAAATTATCTACCTCTCTGTGTATGTATACATACAAACATGGATATGTATACAGACACAAAAGCAACTGCTAACATTTGATGCAATTTCTGCCTCTGCTGAAAACATAGCTCACTAGGCTGATACTTACTAACTTGCTGTCCTTGCTTTTTCGTCTCTAATTTGAAGGCACATAATTAACATGCTGAAGCGTGGCAGCCAGAGCACCTTGGGGTATGCATTGCGGCCGGCACTTAAATCTGACTTCGAGATTTTGGCAGATTGCCTTGGGGCTTTTTTTCCCTCTCGTGTACAAATCCGCCACCATTGTCCTGTTGAGTTTTAAACTTCATGGAGACATCTACAGTACGTTCCCTGGGCTGCTTGATTTTTATTTTGTATTAATTTATTTCCCCCCACACCTCCTTTCAGCCTTAGTTGATGTACAACATTCTCTTTTTAAGTCTGGTGTCTGGTCAAGGAAGCTTCCGGCAATCCACTCCAAGTAGGCCAGCAAAACCTAGCTAAAATCCTTCTACTACAACCACAACAAATAGTGGCTCCACTTGTCTTTTCTGCTTTGTAAGAAGAACTGGTTTAGTGCACCTGGAGATTCAACCTTTTAGTATGCACTTGGTGTGTTTGTGCGGACAGCTGGGGTATCAACAGAATCCACATTCTCTTGTAATAACGTCCACCAGGAAATGCAACACAGCAATCACAGGGGCATGTGCAAATATAAAGCAAAAATTTCAAGGCACTTGCCATGAATGTGGTAGGCAGGCTATGGTGCCTTTCTTTTTAAACTCACACTTGATTTTTCTCTCACTGAGTGTTGTATTCACGGATGTTTGTTTTTCCACTCTCACAAATCGTACGCAATACCAATTTTTCAAATCACTTAACTTGCCAGACCTTTTTTAAATGCATGCATTTCTTTATAGAACTGTTTAACACACAGAGCTTTCTTGACTTCTTAGTTCTTACACTTACTTTTATAATATCTTCAGAAGAAAAAATTATGCTTTGCATGTATTGTATTTTTATCCTGATCTTCTTTCAGCTTTTCATTTGGTTTAGCTCTGTCTTCTGTTTATCTTCAGTCTAGCAAATGTGATGATAATACAATATCTGGAATAATTGGAGTATTTCGCAATTACTGCACAGCATGTGAATCAAGATGGTGGTACTTTCTGTATGCAGAGAAGACTTGCGTAGAATTAACTGATGTGATTATATTAAAAAGAGAGGGACAGACAGGGTGGCACTGAGTTTTCAAAACATTTGAATTTTGATACTATCTCAGCAAAACACCGTTGCTTGTTTTTATCTTACTGTAAAACGTAATATCTGCATGCCTTTTGCTTCACAACTATGTTTCTTTTAGTTTGGTAATTGAGATGGGTCATAATTCTTCATTCATAACGTCATTTCTAGGCCATACTTTAGCAGGATTTCACTCCACATTCAACAGGACAGAAAAAAAATGAGTTGTGAAGGTTTATTTTGATTTAACCATTTGTGTGTATGTATTTACATGCATGTGTGGTTAAGGTTGGTTACTTATGGAAAAGTTCCTTCTAAGAAAAAGAAACTGGCTTTGCTAGTATTTCAGGAATATGGGAGGAATTTTTTATATTTTGTTTATAAATCCTCCTCTAATCCCCTAATTGAGGTCAGTGATGACCAGCAGAACTTGCAGTAGAAAAATATGAACTGTGCAAGAATTATGACTTCCTTGCAAGGCAAAAGAAACGGCTGTCTTTCTGTGGTGAGAATAAATTCTGATGTAAACACATTCACAAGAACATTTGTCACATAGTAGTTACCAGGCACTTGTTTATTTAACAGTTTTATCTGTCCTTGTTGAAGATAAGAAATATTCAGAGTTTAATATGATCCTTCAAGACTTAACTATTAAAAAGAAATGCTATGTTACAGGAAGGTCAGTCCTGCAGTCATACAAATTCTGCTGCACGCTAAGAAACAGTATGCTCAGGAATAGTGTGTGGGGCAAGGTCTGGGTCTTAGGTTGGTTTTGCTACTTCAACCTTCCCTTCCTCCCCTCCTGTAAGTCTAACAGAAGGAGTTAAAAAAACCAGCTTGCTCTGAATAGAGTTGGTTTTTATCTAGCTGAAAGAATCTAGCAAGTTGTAATCTTAACTTAAGCATTGGCTGAAAAGGAGACTGGTTTTTTTTTGTTCTACTCTTCCCAGTTTGCCCAAATCAGTGAAGGGGCTTGCTAATACAAAAGACCACGCAGACAGTCCTCTAAGCCAGATAAAATGAGTTCTCCCACTGGAAATACAGCATCTGGAATTAAACATAAATATTCTTTAGTAGAGGTACAATCCAGGATGAGATCTTTCTCTGGTAGCATTTGCTTCATCATCCTAAGAGGGAAAAAGAATGGACTTGACTCACCCAGTTGAATGAAATAGTTCAACTAGAATAAAATGTACAGACTCACTGGAAACCCAAGCCATTAATGTGCTGCATGTGCTATGAATGAATAATCTGAGATTATTCCTTTCCAAATGTCTTGGTTTCTCAGTAGACTAGCCAACCAAAACACTCAGGGGAATCACAGGCACCAAGAGATGAAGTGACTTGTTCACGGCCGTTAGCAGGTTGGAAGAGAACGTGGTTTTCTGGGCTCCCAGTGTACCATGCTGTCTGCTGATCCCTGCTGTATCTCCTCAACACCGACGGAAGAAATATTTGACAGTTTTGAGAAAAAACAGTGACACTGTTTTAATCCTGCGTGCCAAGCTTTTCACTCACTGCTAGCACATACATGGTGCTAACGTGTGGTTGTGGTATACAAGCCATAGCTGGGTACTGATTTCCTCCGCCAGTGAACTGAAACAGTTTGAAGTAAGAACAGAGATAAAAGATAGGCGCACACATATACATGCCTCATGGCACATCATTAATAGGCCATCCACTTTGTTTTTAATTTACTTCAAGAAGGAAATAAATTATTTCAGGGAATAGGTTGCATAATCTGATAACAGATTTTATACTTCCATTTAGTGAACCTCATATGAGAAATGCATACAAATGGACAGAATATGTCTAACTTTAAAAAAAAAAAAAAATCCAGTTGATTTGTGTCCAGGAGAAGGCTTTTTGTCTTGAAAAGTAGCATGACTTTTATTAAAGTACACCTGATCAGCCATAAATAGCTTTCTGCAAATGTTCAGTGAGGAAACAAACAACATTCATGAACACTAGTTGAAAGTGTATGATAAACAGCTAACAATGCTCAGCTATCATAGTCATTAATCAGTTAGGAGTGAGATTTCCAGATTTATTGTGATAGTTCAGTGGGCCTATTTTGCCCAAGAAATGAACAATTTCTTATTTTAGTATTTTACCTCATCCTACGTGTTGAAGGAACAAATCTGATCATACAGATTGAATCAGGGACAAGCATTGAGGTTTTGAGAGAGACTGTCAAAAGCCTGTTTTGTTCTTTTGTACCTTGTCATGTTTCGTGTGCAGAAGGCTGGTGTCTGAGATCTAACAAATAGCGCTAGGAAAGACTATATGTATTTTTCATTGTTGGAATTTCTGGTCTTTATGAGGTAAAGTCTTGACCTGTTACGATATTAAAACTACACCTGTAAGACCATGAAAAACTGTCCTACGTGCTGTGCTGTAGTTTTGTTGCCTGATAAAGGTGTAAAAATCAGTGTCTGAGCTTGAAAGGAAGACCAGTTGAGATCTGTGTATAAACTGATTCTTAGTTAAAGGAAGTAATCCTGAGTAAAAGTAATAAATAAATTATTACGGGAATAAATTTCTGCATCAGCTGTACGTGAAGGTATTCAAAGACCGAACTAATTTGCACAAGATAACTCGACACAGGCAGCTCTAAAAGAGAAATCGTAGTGGTCTTGTTTGACTACAGCATATGTGGATCGTGCAGGTAATGGTTGTAATGTAGCAGGCCAAGAACAGCCTGTCTTCTTCGTGAACTTTAAACTTGATTCTTTTTTCTCCCCCTCCTTGTGCTTCCAATTGACACTTGCAGAGTGAAAGTAGCAGCAGTAGCAATATCTCCACCATGCTGGTGACACACGATTACACGGCAGTGAAGGAGGATGAGATAAATGTCTACCAAGGAGAGGTCGTGCAGATTCTAGCCAGCAACCAACAGAACATGTTTTTGGTGTTCAGAGCCGCCACTGATCAGTGCCCCGCAGCCGAGGGCTGGATTCCCGGCTATGTCTTGGGGCATACCAGTGCAGTCATCATTGACAACCCTGATGGAACCATCAAGTGAGTGCCTGGGTGTGTGAAGAAGGGAAGGAGGAAGAAAAATTTCCAATTTAGACAAGGCATTGAACCTTTTAAACCACAAGTTGATGTGATCTTTGAGAAATAAACGAACATCAAGCAGAATGAGTATTTGAGAGATCCTTTAGCAAACTTCAAAATATAAGAAAGCCCAGAAGCACATATTCCTTGTTAAAAAGCTCTAGTAGTGCAATCTTCTGGGAAAAGGTGATGAAATAGTACCTGATTTAAGAGCAGCAATAGTTACTGGTTAATTTAATAGAATGAGTTGTCAAGCTAGGCACCTTTGTTTAGGAAAGCAGTCACAAATGTTTGTTTCAAGTGAAGTGAAATTTCAGTGTTCCTTGATTTCATCTTTGAGAAACGAACCTATTTAAAATTTCTGGTTGTGCTAGGAAGATCTGTCTCAAATCTGCAATGGGAGAAATTATATCAAAGTTCTTAGCAGTAAAGCTTTATGTAAAGCTTCTGTAGGTTGTATTTGATAATGGATTTCATAGTGATCATTGCTCAGTTTGATCAGCAGTTTGTATTTTCATATAGAACATTTACCATTCTAGCAGCAATTTAAAGAAATACTGAACTACAGACTAGTCTTACTAGCTTGCTTACAGTTTTAACCAAGGGTAGCATCCCTTGTGGAATACTTAATTTATTCAATTTCAGTATACTTCAGTACAATGAAATCACATTTTGACACGCTTTTCCAATGCCATTTGAAACTAGAGAATATAACGTATAACCCGGAGTTGAAAAAAATTGATCAAAGTTTAATGTTCTGTATTCAGGAAGTCAACGTCTTGGCACACAGCACTCCGTTTAAGGAAGAAATCTGAGAAAAAAGATAAAGACGGCAAAAGGGAAGGCAAGCTAGAAAATGGTTACCGCAAATCCCGAGAAGGACTTGCCAACAAGGTTTCTGTAAAGGTAAATGTTACAAAGATGTAGTACTATGTTTCCAAAAGGACCTGTGTTGGGATTTCTTTAAAAGTAACTTCTGTCAGAATTTCACATGAAAGAATTGGAGGCAACAGTGGGTTTAATGGACAGTGTTTGCCATATCTGAAAATGGGAAGATAGAATCTTTGAGCCTGCAGGTGTGGTCTAGCATAAGGATGCTGCAGAAGGAGCAGAGTGGTGCAGAAATTCTGGTGTTCAGATGTTTCTTGGATCTTTGTGGGCAAAGCTAACTTTGAACCATCCCTGTAGTTTATTTTCTGCCATTCTTTAATTTCTTACAGTGTTATAAGGGCATTAATTCTTTAATTTCTCCTTTCCAGCTTCTCAACCCCAATTACATTTATGATGGTAAGTTGCTTTAATTTTTAAAAGTCCCAGTAAATATAATTTGAATAGAACATGATTTACTTTGTTTAAATTTGCTTGATATGAATTACGTGAGGAACTGAGTGTTCTCCATCAAAATATATAGGCTTTTTTATGGTTGGATAAGGGAGACAGTTAATGAAATATGTCATACTTATTTTTTTAAGATGCAAGGAACACTTTTTTGTTCACAAATCCCAAACAACATCAAATGCAAGGACCGCATGACATGTTCAGAAAGATATGCATTCTGCTGTATTTGCATGGAGACTGTATGGAAGTTGGGCTTTGCCGAATTTGCAAAACAATAAGGCCAGGAATTGGAGACCACCTGCTTCATTTTTAACCTTGCACCCTAGGGAACATTCAGGGCCTGGCCAATGCAGAGGCTGATCAGGACAAAGACAGTGGTCCCCTGGGTCAGAGCCAAACTAGGGTTTTATCTTAATAAACAGAACCAAACTTTTTGAGTTTCACCTGTATGCAAAGACGGAAGCCACTACAGTGCCTCAGTGGATGAGGTGTTTTGTGTTCCCTTTTGCAAACTTAGCTGGATATAAAGATAGCCTGGCTGAGCACATCCTTAAATACTTTTCATTGTAGAGTTTCGTCAGCTTGCCATGAACAGGGTGTTTGGTTCACCGTGGCAGGGGTCAGGGTTAATGCCACACCGTGGCATAGCAGTAGTGTGTCCAAGTTCATGCAGAGAAAAAAGTCACTAGTTCTGCAGAGCCCCAGCAAGTGGCCTAACCATGGATGTGCTCCAAGAGCAGAGGGATAGATAGGTAGATACACCTTGGAAATTTAAAGTACCATACCACTTTGTCTAATATAAAAAAGAGTGTGCAAGGAATAAAAAAGCAAATTGATTAACTTCAATTGACCTGATGCCATTAACTTTCTTTTTCAGTTCCCCCAGAGTTTATAATACCATTGAGTGAGGTAACATGTGAGACAGGAGAGACCATCGTGCTTAGGTGTAAAGTCTGTGGTCGCCCCAAGGCTTCAGTTACTTGGAAGGGTCCTGATCATAACACACTGAGCAATGACGGTCATCACAGCATTTCATACAGGTACAGTAATTTGTGTAATGTTCAACAGGAACTGCTGAAACTGTTTATATTTTCTATTTGCACCCTTGGTGCAGGATAGCCTTTGGCTTTGAGGCATAAAGCTAGGGTTGTCCTCAGACAGAAATATTTCACAGTTGGGATTTTCTGGAAATGTTGTGTAACTTCTATGTAGGGCTGGGGTACCCAAGTGTTGTATTTCGTTGATTTTTAAAAACAAAAGAAAATTCAACTGGTATTTCTGATTAGCTATTTCAGAAGCCATTAAGATTCTGTCACACCGACCTTGTGCTTGAACCAGTATGTTGTGACATGCCAGTGCTGTGACGTGCCATCTGCCAATCTCTTATTTCCGTTAGTAGCATACCATCATTTTTGAGGCAAATGACTGCTTTCAGATCACGCTACAGTATTTTTCAAAGAAAAGCCTTTGGTTCCAACTGACATGGCAATGTCACTGTTCATTGTTGAAGCACAGAAGTTAACTTTTTTTTGTCTGTTTTTAGCTTTGCTATGATAAAACTTAACCGACAACTGCGAACTCAAATACCTGGTTAGCAAGAGAAATTGCTGTGTTTTGGAAAATGAAACTGCAAGTTAGAAAAGTGGGGTTTTTTCTGAAAATGCATTCTTTTATATACAGAAAATCTTGTTTAATGAGTAACTTCAGTATGAAGAAATGCCTTATTTTATGAATTATGCTCTCAATTCAGAATAAGGTTTTTTTTGTAAAAACTTCCCTCATTAATGAATAAAAGAGTATGTTATCTTAGAGATTGTACAGTATAGCCCAACTTACCTGCAAACTTGATGGCATGTTATACTGGGTTTTTTTACCTCTTGCTGTTGCTTTTACCTTTTCATTGGGTATAATTTATTTTTTTTTAATGTGGCAGCTCTGCTACTCCATCCAGGACCATTGTGAGAGATGAGTAAGAGTTAGATTCACCAGGCTTAATTCACTCATACAGAATTCTATTCAGTAAATCATGTTGTGGCTGACAGATTTTTAGAAATAATAATAATTTTTGAGCAGAGGGAGGGGGGATCATCTTCCTATGTTCCTAAAATTTACATTCATTTTTTTCCTTGAAATTAAGTTGTGCGGTAAAGACCGTGACAAATAGTTTTTGGTTCAGTCAGTCAAATTACTTGCAGTAACTGGAATGAATCCAAAGGAAAAGCAATAAGAATGGTAGAAAATCTTGAAAATATGCCCTATTGTGAAAGAATAACACAATGTTAGGGTTGTTTTGAGCCTAGAGGTGAAAAGTGTAGGGAGGACTTGCCAAGTATTCACATTTGTAAGAGGTCTCTGCAAATAGAATTATCTGCTGTTCATGTCCATGGCAGATGGTCAAGAAAGTACTAGACATGAATTGCACAGAGGAAGATTTAAGTAGACATTTAAAGACAAGCCATCAAACAAAAAAGGTGGTTGTGCAGTGAGAAAGGTTAAGGAAGAGTCTGCAGAATCTTTCTCCTGTGGTCTTACACAGCTTATTGCTGTCTCTGCCCTGGAGCAGAGGGAAAACTTAAGTCTTTTTTTAGTTTCCTTCCGTCCTCATTCTCCCAGATTCTGAGGTCTCAAGAGTTGTGGTGAGGTGCACCTTTTGTATCGAAGGTGGAGCCCACGCTGTAAGATGCTCTGAAAGTACAAATGTTAGGTCAGCTTCTATATGCTGGGAGTCAGGGATGGAAGCTAACCTTTCAGAAAGAACCATGATGGATGGTTGTCTCCATACAGTTTCTCATAATTTGAAGGAAGTAGAGGAGGCAGGAAAAAACAGGGGAAACATTTCATTTTTTCAAACACAAGGGAGCCTGGGACCTGCTGAGACCAAGTGTCAGTGAGGATGTTTTTCTAACAGCCTGTAGGACATTCTAAGATACTTGATGGACACAAAGTGCTCAAATTGTGGTAGACATTTCTGAAATGGCAGGGACAGGGTTAGTAATGTTTGTCCAGAGAGAGAGGGGCTGCAGAATAAGAAATATTAATAGTATCAATCCAACTTTATCTGATTTCCATAACTTAAGGTCTGTAAAATGAATATAAAGTTAACAGCTGCCATTGTATTTCCCAGTGACTTAGGAGAGGCTTCACTGAAAATCATTGGCGTCACTGCAGAAGACGATGGTATCTATACATGTATAGCTGCAAACGATATGGGTTCAGTTTCATCTTCCGCCAGTCTACGAGTTTTAGGTAGGCCTGTCTCTTTGCTTTTTTTTTTTTAATCTAATTACATTCAATGGTACTCATGGTACAGGAAAAAGAAAACCCTGGCTCTTGGGCATCCCTCTATTAAAGGAGTGTTATGGCAAACCTTTTCACCTGTGATATATTACTTGTTTCAGCAGGGACAGATGCACTTTTAGGATGTAACTAATTGGAGGTTCATACAGACAGGATGTCTACACAGTATTGTCAACATTCATTTACCTTGTCTGTCAATACTAGTACAATCATTCTATGATAAAATCATATTTTATCATCTGCATTCTTAGATTACCTCAATGAAAGTTTCTGTGCCAACATATATAATTTCTAAAGCATACAGATAAGAAGAGAGTAGCATTGCTCTGTATTTTAATATGCTCCTTTGCTCGAATTGTAAAGCCACGGTGTTCAGGAAGACACGTAACTATTTCTTGTCTTTGCATGATGGATCTATACTTACATTACATTATTTCAGTACCTGAAGTGAGGTAACCCGAATGTTTGTGAGAGAATGAAAAGGAAACCTGCAAAGATTAAAAATGCCTGTGTTTTGGAGGCAGACAGCAAAGGAAAACAATGTTTTTTACTTGATGTGTTTGATGGCACAGTGATAAGTTTCAGTGCGTGTTCGTACATTCAGTTATTCTTCTCTTAAGTGTTCTGGATTTTCCGTTTTTAGAAATGGGGAAAACACAGTGAGGATAGAAGGTTTTCTTACACGAAATTTATAACAGTTGATGCTATCTGGGTCCTTTCATCTATTAAGAGGCCCATATATTTATCCATTGGTGAGAATTAATTACTAGATTTTAGGTGGAATGGCTCCATCTCAAATTGACTCATATAAATAAGATATGAAGTGCTGCATTCTGTCTTTGTATGTCTGTCCCAGCTGATACGGGGACTTGTACAGTTGTCACGAATCTTTCCAAAATACATTCTTTCTCCCTTTTCCCCACCTGCCCCATCCCCCTGCCCAAAAACAAGTTTGCTATTTTCTTGGAATGTTGAAACCAGACTGTGAAAAATATGCCTCTTCCAAAACTTCATCTGAAATTTTTTGGGGGTTTATAATCAGCGCTGCCACTTTGAGCTCAACTTGTTGGCAGCCCTAGTAAGTGCCTTACTGCCAACATATTGAGGTGGTGATTATTCTCAGCATTATTCCCTGCTAACTGACCCAAGACAGCCAGTAGTTAAGCCCTAGAATGGGCGTGTTGCAATATATAAAAGAGGCAGAAACCAAAATTTTGGTCTTTACACTAATGTTCCCTGAAAAACAGAGCTTGCTTTTTTTTTTTTCAGGTAGCTGCTACACTGTCTGATCACTTTGTTTTTTCCCAGTGGCAGGTGTATAGTCGATAATGAGACATACCGTAAGATGCCTGTTCTTTTTGCTGTTTCCTTCAGCTTGCCAAGGTTACTCATTCCTGTACAGACAGTTCCCACTGCACCTAAATTAATTCCACTATAGAATTTGTTCTGCTACATTGGCCAGGCTGCTTGGACGCGTAATCCGGTTTGTCTTGCTGCCACCCTGTGTCATATGGGGATTAACAGGATGGGGTGATTCTACTGATAGTGTATCAGCCAAGGAAACTTTCTAGTCAGGGGAGTAAGAGCTCTTGATGGACAAGAATCAATGCAAAACTGTGTGCATTAAGTGACTTGTGTAACGAGAGTCATTCCTACACCAGTACAGAAGCCCCAAACTGTGATTTCGCCGGAGTCACAGAAGTCTTGTAGACTAAACTACCATCTTTCAGCCACAATCCTTAGTCTTACTGACCTTGTCCAAAAGTAAATGTTTGCTTTTCAGTCAAAACTAAACCAGAATTTGGTATGTCTCAGTTACTCTGCGACTAGACTTCAAAAGACAGGCAGCTGTATTTACCTAGCCCTTCTACTTAGCTCTACCAATACTTTTACAAAAGTAAAAAATACAAAAACTGGCCCAAGTTTTTCTGCAACCATCCTACCCATCGTTTCCCCAGTCCATAAAAGCCAAATGAAAACACTAAAGCTGTAGCACAAAGTAAGGTTTCAACCTAAGTCTGTGAAGTCTTTTTCATTCCTTTGGACTTGAAGGACTTGCCATTTGATTGCAGTCAATTCTTGTGCGTTATCTCCTCCAGAATACGCTTTACCTTCTGTTGCTGTAGTAGTCTTTATAAAGCATCGGTAAAGTAGTTGCTTACAGAAATAATTTGCTTTCTGAGCTGCAGGAGGATGGGCAATATGAGGCCATGAGTTGCTTTTTAATGTGCACACACTCAGCTTCAAGCAAAAGAGGATAGGGGCCAATCTGACTGAGGCGAATTCCTCCTGAAATCTGTTCCAAACTGAATATGAAGTCCAAATATTCAGCCTTTTGCAAACATCTGAAACAATCCATTTGTTAATCACAACAGTTCAGTTCTGAGGACGATCTGATGATATTAAATGTTGGCTATATGGGCCTTCTCTCTTTGTAGGTCCTGGAAGTGATGGGATCATGGTAATCTGGAAAGACAACTTTGATTCCCTCTACAGTGAAGTGGCTGAGCTTGGCAGGTGCGTTCTGTATGCTGATCTCCAAAGTTGTCTATGTCAAAATATGAACTTCGCATTCAAAAAATGAAATTCTCTTTGAGAAATACTAATCTTATGAACCTAAAAGGCCAGAATTACATTGGATTAAATAGAAATGAGGAAGTGAAAATCTTACCAGCAGTAGATGGCACTGCATAAACAGAACATATTTAGGCTGAAGTGATATCATAGCTTAAGGGATGTGTGTCTTTCAAATACTTTGGAAGGCTACATAGTCTTTTTTTTTTTTAAGCATGCCTTACAGTGACTGACACTGCTTCTGTAGTGTAGCTCTCCTAAACCTTTTTGTTTAGAGTATGAAAATTACAGACATAAAACAACGAAAATGAGCAAAATGCAAAATAAGTCACATAGAATATTCATTTCTCCAACTTAATGATGACCTTTGAAAGCTGGATGCTACTCTGACTTGAGTTCTCTGCAAATGTGATAAAACAGATCTCTATCAGGAGCTACTTGTTTATACAGGCATATTTTGTAGAAGATGCATGTACTTAAAACTCTTGCTTATGTCCAGAAACTGCTCTGCAAGGGTAACTTATTAGAGATCTCTCAGGGTATCTTTCAAGGTAAAAGTATGTCCTTAGGGCATCTCTTGGTTAATTCTTTCCTTTCGATATTGTATTCCAGGGGCAGATTTTCTGTCGTTAAGAAGTGTGACCAGAAGGGAACCAAGCGAGCAGTAGCCACTAAGTTTGTGAATAAGAAGTTGATGAAGCGAGACCAGGTTACTCATGAACTTGGAGTCATGCAGAATCTCCAGCATCCCCAGCTCATTGGCCTTCTTGATACCTTTGAGACCTCCACCAGCTACATACTAGTGTTAGAAATGTGTGTGGACCGCAATGTTACCTGTAAAATACAACCTGTGCAGCTGACTTTCTGGGGCTTTTATAGTGGTTTATGAATAAGGAACTTTAAGGTTTCACAGAAGTTTGAAGATGCCTAAATATAAGATCACAAGCATCTAATGCTGTTATGAAAACATTGAGTATATTATTATATTCAAAAGAAAATAAACTGATACATTAAACTGATATGTAGGCGATTATCTTAGTTGAAGGTCTAAGAATTATTTTATATCAGACAATTACACAAGTGAATTAGCAATGTTGTGATCTTGGTAGCTTGATATCAAATCTCTTCATACACTAGCCTTGTGTCTTCTAGATGCTGCAGGCTATTCCTGTAGTCTATGGCAGGACATACCTGATTTTTTTCAAGTCTGGCTAAAATTACAGTATTTCTTCCTTTCCTTCTCTGCCTTCACCCTCTGCTCCCACTTCAGAATTACAAGTGCAGGTCAGCTATAAGTGATGTAGAATATTTTCACAGATGATCAAGCCAAACATCAGAAACAGTGATTACTTGATGCAGTTTTTTTAAGGGACTTGCCTTAAATATTTTTTAACATAACTTTCAAAACTTATATTTTCCTTTCAGTTCTGATATCTGAATTAAAACAAAATATAACCCTTGTAATTCCAATAGGGCTGACCAGGGTCGCCTTCTAGACTATGTCGTGCGATGGGGAAACCTCACAGAAGGGAAGATCAGACTCTACCTGGGAGAGATTCTGGAAGCTGTGCAGTATCTTCACAACTGCAGAATAGCACATTTGGACCTAAAGGTGAGGAGTGAATGGGATTCCTGGCAGTGTATGCTATTCCAGGCATAAAACTTTCCCTCTTGTAGGAAACTGGCAGATTGGAGCATAGAACTGTGAATTGCTTTGAGACTGTCTGAAGGAGGGTATGGGGCAGGGCTTTATTCCCAAATGCTTTAGATCACTCATAGCCAGCAAAGCAGAAACTTTGAATTCCCTGTGCTTTCTCCTTAAAGCTTGCTGGCCATATGTCTTCCTTTTTGCTGGAAATAATTGCTGATAGGAACAGTTTTGTTTATTTTTTCTTTTCTGAGGACCTTTCAGCAGAAATCCATTTCTTTCTCAAGAAGCGTAGAGTTCGTTGTGAAGAGACTGCTTTTCCTATGTTCCTCTAAATCTGTTTCTCATCATTGCACTTTGAGGGTTATGGTATCTGTGTGAATGGTACCTGTTGGTCCTTTGTTCTATGCTCTGAATTTTACTTGAGCCACAGGATTTGATGCATTCTGGTAGGAAAAGCTATACAAGGAGATCTTAAGGTTAATCTTAATAAAAAACTTATTCTTTATACTTCTATTGTCCACCTGTATTTGAATAATAAGGAATTATAGCATTGAAAACTCATCTTTGTAGGCAGGGTCTCTTTAGCCAAAAGGGGTCATGGTGAGAAAAAGCAAAAAGAGCCGGCATCTTCCCTCTACATACTTCTGTTTTCCAAGCAGAACCAGTCTGGTCTGCATATCATGGAGACCCAACATTTAAAGTTTTCTAGTGCTATGTGGAGTTCACCAGTACTTTTTCCAGTCTTAAAAACTAGTTGTAGGTAAGTCACTCTTATTTTGCTAAGATCCCAGCCACAGCAGCAGTACCTTCAGAAATAAAACCATAAAAATTTCTCCTGAGGCCATGTGCATCCAGCAGGATCTGCTGCTGCCATAGTCTCCTAACAGTGCTTGACTTCCATCTGTACAGCTGCATTACATGAAAGAATCACCAAGTAAAGCTGAATTCTGTTGAAAGCATCATGAAAATTCTGACAAAGTCTTCCAATCTTTAAATAAATACAAGGGTTTTGTTGTTTCTCTGTCATAAAGCAAATAGAGCAGTTGCTTTATTCACCCTCTGTTTGTAATTGCTGCTCTTTAAGCTTAAGTTCCCAAACACAGGTTCCTGTGAAACTTTCAGAGCTGTTATTGTGAACATCTGCAGTATTATCTGGCAGAACTATATTTCCTGCAAAAATTAGAGTGCCAGCAGCTGAAACACATCCATTGCACGATGTAGTTGGCAAGAGACTGCCTGCCGGTTGGTCTGGGGGAGGCCATGGTAGGACTGCCTGGGAGCTTTGCAGAGCTGGCCTGCAGCAGTAATCCTCACAGCTTGTAGCTGTTTGTTATGTTCTTGAGCGGACAGCACTGGCTGGGAAACAGTAATGTTGGAGCGTTAAATGTCTGGTAGACTGGCTTGAAAAAATGACATTTTAACTTTTCTTTTTATGTTTTCTAGCCTGAAAATATTTTGGTGGACCAGAGTTCCACTAAGCCAACAATAAAACTGGCTGACTTTGGAGACGCAGTCCAGCTCAATACCACGTATTATATCCATCAGTTACTTGGAAACCCAGAGTTTGCAGCTCCTGAAATTATTCTTGGAAATCCTGTTTCCCTCACTTCAGATGTTTGGAGCATTGGAGTGCTCACATATGTCCTTCTTAGTGGCGTCTCTCCTTTCCTGGATGAAAGTGTAGAGGAAACTTGCCTGAATATTTGCCGCTTAGACTTTAGTTTCCCAGATGACTACTTCAAAGGAGTTAGCCAGAAGGCCAAAGATTTTGTATGCTTCCTACTTCAGGATGACCCAGCTAAGCGTCCCTCGGCTGCACTGGCCCTCCAGGAGCAATGGCTGCAGCTGGGGAATAGCAAAAGTGCTGACAGCATTGACATATCCAGACTGACTTCATTCATTGAGCGGCGAAAACACCAGAATGATGTTCGACCCATCTGTAGCATTAAAAACTTCTTACAGAGCAGGCTCTTGCCAAGAGTTTGACCTTGCTTGAAGTTCTCTCTCATTCTCTTTCACCTGCCAATCAGACTGGAGATGGACTCCTCCTGCCAACCAATTAGACTGGAGATAGACTTCTCCTGCCAGCCAATCAGACTGGAGATAGACTCCTCCTGCCAATCAGCTGTTGACTTCAATTTTGAGGAAAGCAAACCCCGAGCCAACCAGCTGCTAGCGAATGTTCGTGTGCAAACGCATTCCAGGGGGACCCGCGCGGGGTGGCGCAGGGGACTGGCAATGCAGACTTCACTGGGGTGGAGGACGATAGCACTGTACTCTGCAAAAAGCAGTCACGAGCGATACAGTAACAGTATTTTATTCAGGTTTCTGCAAAAAAAAAAATAGTTTTTTTAATAAACAAGAGTTGAATTTTGCAAGTGAACTTAACTACCGTTTTCAAGATTTATTCAAGGAAGAAATGCCTATGTTCAAAGCACTGGTGTTAAACAAAAATGAAATCATGCCTGGAGAAGACTCACCCAAATGGCTGCCCATTGATACGGCCTCCATTTATAACATCTGGTTTTCACTTGGTCCTAGAGCTTTCCAGTTGCCTCGCCTGTATGTATCTCACGTAGCAGTGCACTGAGATCAGACTCTGCTTTTAAGTGCATCCAACCTCAAAGTTTTTGCATACAAATAGAATGAATCGTTTTGCTCTGATAAAATGTAGGCCTTACTTGTATATAGACTGTTACCTGCCTTCGGTCTGTAATTTTTTTTTTTTTTCCCCAGCCCTCCCCTTATCCTTTTTTTTCCCCTCCTTCCTAAATGGTGGTATACCACTGTGCGGGTCTTCAGTTTGGGTCAGTACTCGCTGTCCCCTTAGACAAGGACTTCGGGCTGGTGCCCAGCTTGCCGACCCGATTGTCAAGCAGTATACAGCAGGATGAAATACTGTAAATGCACTCATTTGGGATTTTGTTTTCTTTCATATCATGTGCAATGTTGTGGCTTTAACATTTTATGCAACTATTTATGAGGACCTCTGTTGTAACTGTAATAAATATATAGAAAAAGCACATACTTAGTACGGCGAGCTTTATGGTTTTGTTTGTGTGTTCGGGCTTTCTGGGTGGGCAGGGGCGGGTGTGTTGTACCACACTGTCATGATTAGTTTAAGATGAGGATTAGCTTAGAATTTAGTCAAGCCTAGTCAGTTTTAAGGATTGTTCAAAAAAAAAAAAAAAACCTAAAAAAAAAACGAGAGAGAGAGATTCTTATCCCAAATCTCAAACTGGTTAAAAGTAGGGTGACACTTTTTAAGATTTATTATTATATTCAAAATGCCAAAGTCTGACTTTCCCAAAATCAGTCTCAACACTTACTACTTTTTAGAATTTTCAAGTCTGTGTTTACTTCCTTCTGTGAAATGAGCAAATGAATTTTGTGCTCTTTGGTGAAGAATACATTCAGAAAGTAGTGATCAGATGAGGAGAATCTGACACGTAATGTAATTGTCTTAGTAACTGTTTTTAAGGTTGAAGTAATATTAACGTGAGCTATTTAAAGACAGAGATGGTTTTCTGTGCATCACTGAGTTCATATGGGTGTGTTGTCATCTATGTGTGAAATGCCATGTTTAAAGAAATCAAGCCGACATCCCGCAATAGTTAGATATATGGGTCTTAAGCCATAACCTAGCTTGGGTTAGTTTTGAGCTTTGCGGCTTCCACTGTATTCTATTTATTCCTTTTTTGGTTTTTGGGTTTTTTTGTAAAGTTGTACAGAAACTTTTTAAAAGAAAACATCTGACTTCGAAACTGGATGTGTATTCGTACCAACCTCATATCATTATGTTTGTGTATTATTTTCCTTTATTGTTTTAGTTAAATTTTTGCTTTATTTTGCATGTATATTTCTTTGTACAGTGACGTTACATGTTTACACAGTATGACGTGATGTAAATATTTTATTTTGCCATCAGTTATTTTGAAAAAAAATTAAACATATTTGACATATTTGTCTGATCTCTTGCTTTAAGGAGTTTGAAAGTTTAGGTTTGGTTATATTTTAATTGGCCTCTGTATTTAAAAAGAAAAAAGTACATTATTTTATTGCTATAAAATTAAATTGCAATGATGTATCTTTCTTTCATGCCTTACAAAATAATATTTGCCTTTGCTCTTAGTGTTGAGTGCTTTGTAGTGTCATCATTACTTTTATATAAAACATGCGTAACTCTAACTGTGGAAATTCATTATAGTCTTTATTAGCTAGTAAATGTGACCAGCAGAGTTTTCTACCAGATGTTCCCAGTTAAAGACCGAAGGCCCATATTTCAGTTTAATATTAAACTGGGGAACAGATTTCCCACATCTTTTAGGTATTCCAGATTCATTATAAGGAAAAGTTACTTTCAACCACAAAGACTTGGGTTTTGCAGCTAAACTCTGCTCGCATCCTATAAGGGATGAAGCAGAAAAGTTTTCATTGTGTACATTTATATCTCTCCCTTTTCTGCTATCATTAAGCCATTTGCAATTCAAAATTACGTGAAAGGTCAAGGAACAATAGGGAGTGTTTATCCTTGTTACTGCATTGCATTCATGATTTTTTTCCACTCTTTTTTTTTTTTTCCTCTATTACCTGTCAAGTGATGAAACAGTCCCTTTATGCCTCACAATTTACTACTGAGACAGTTGAGACACATTTTGTATTGAGACAAAGAATATTCAGGGAGGATGCACTGCCAAGGAAGAGCCACGGGAAGCTTTTTCCATGACCGGGAAATAGATGCCAACATGCTCCATGGAAGAGTTTGTGTCCTTGAGTTCTTGAAAATACTTTTTCTTGACTGAAGATACACTCAGCTGGGGAGAAGTTACCCAAATGCTCTACAGAGAAATAACGTACTTGTAGATGTTTTAAGTAGCAGAGATATGTTCTTCCATTCATATGTGAACAAGTGTGTGGTGTTTCTGGCCCTCCGTGTGAGCCCTGTTACTTGGGAAAGCTAACATCTTTTGACAGAGTAGAGTTTTGCGCTAAAACTTGCTGGCTGTTCAGTGCAAGAGCCTCCAGCTGAAGAGAGCTTGAATGATGGGCTCCTCAGCTTGGACATCTCTTCAAATGCTTTAAAGAGAGAATGTGTGTGTAAGGTCCTTTTGTTTTGCTAAATTGTGTAGTGGGGGCTGCAAATACCACTTGGCCTCAGTTGGGCACAGTTCTCCATGACTGTTCTGCACACAACAAACCAGCAGCACAGGCTGACAGTGGAAACCAAAAGCATGGGTGAAAGGAATTGGTATGAGGTTTCTAATATGAGAATGTTGTAGAGCATAGGGAATGGCAGTCAACATCATAGCAGAAAGGGGGAAAAATAGCCAGGCGTGTTCTAGAGAAGAATGTGTCCAAATGTTGCTTTTTGATGACATACCCCAATCACTTCTTACTGATAGTTTAGGATAGAAGAGAAGAGGTTGTCAGACTTTATAGTCAGTGCACATGTCAATACTTTTCAAGTGGGGTTTGAGAGTGCAGGAGTTCTCCGTTGCACATTCGATGAATGCAGCTTAACTTGAAAAACATCATGCAACTGCTAAGCAGAAAGCCTGGTAATATTTCCATGGTCAGGGAAGCAGCCTACGTTGCCTTCCTGTGGGCAGAGGCCTAACACATGCCTGCCTGTGCCCATGAGAAGTGGGATGGGAGAGCCTGGTTTTATCTTGTGTGAGTATAGGGATCGCTTAACTGTAAGCCATCCTCATTCTCAGATGGGACTATTAATGTGTTGATGAATAGAAGAAAAAAATAATTGTTTTTCCAAATCCAAAAAGCATGCTCAGGCCAGGGTGCAACAGAGATCCTGCAGACTGACACAGCAAAAGCATCTGGCTTCCTAAAAAGATTTCAGTACCTTTGCAAACCTGATTGGTAGTAGAAGATGCCTGAAAATATAATGGAATGTTTTTTACGTGTAACATAATGCATGACATTGTCAGGAAACATTAAAACCCCACTGCTGAGGGAGAGTCAGTGTAGGACTCCATCAAAAAGAGGGCCTGGTGAGTGAGAAATTAATGTAACAAAGGGGAAAACCAATGGCTGGCTTGAGGGTAAGCCCCGTGGTTCCCAAAATCTTAACAGAAATGAAGACAGGAATATACTTAACCAGCGTCCATGGGTAGTGAAATCTATGAGTAGCTGGTATTTACTGAGTATTCGGTCAGCCGATCTTTGCTGTGAGCAGCAGTGTATTCGTGTGCTAGGGATTAGTGCAGGGAGCGTTACCAGGTCTGCTCCAGTCGGGAAGATGAGCTAAGCCTTACGTACCCTTTCCATGTGTGTATAGGCTCTGTGTGGGTGTGTTACTAATTTCTCTGCTACAGGGATTCAGTTGCGTGTGGAGGTAGGTAGAATCTGGTAAGACCAAGTTTCTGTATTTGTTTAAACCAGCTCTAGGTATTGTGGTGTTTTTGTCAGAACCACTGCTTTATCCCTCAGGCAGGCAACTTCTGATTTTTTATTTTCTTTTCCTGAGATTAAATATTGATGGAGGTTATATTATCTGTCATACTAAATGGTCTTCCTGACAAAATGTCTTTGCCTCTCATGGAAGAAAAGTCCATTGAGAATTATGTAATATCTAATTATCGTTTTAGAATGGCAATAAACCATTGCTATCCATAACTTTGTTTAGCAGCGGGTTATGCAGTCGAGCTCCATACTGTGTGAAGAACCCATCAATATCTTCATTTGATGTTTCTGAAGTTTTGGTTTGGAAAAGACAATGAGCAGTTCATCTTCCCAACTTGTGTGTCCTACCTCTGCTTTTAGTCTTCTACCTTACTTTTCATTCGGTCCTCTGTTTACCAAGCTAAAGAGTACTGGTCTATTTATTCCTCACGGGGAAGCTATTTATCATCTTAATTACCTTTTTCTGAACCTTCCCTAGTTCCAAGTCATATATTGCCTATGATGGGAGAGGGCAAAGCTCACACAATATTCATGATAAAGGTGCGTCATGAGTTACACAGTTGCAA